ATACGCCGCTGCTTTCCCACTTGAGCTATCGTGACTTCGATCGACTCGGACACCAACTCCCCTTATCAACCCACCTTTCGAATTTTCCCTCCTTTCAGCCATTTTTCAAATGTCTTGTAATCAGGATTCGATTCTCGGCGACAAATGGATCGAAGTCACGATAGCTCAAGTGGTAGAGCAGCGGCGTATTTAGCCGATAGTCGTGGGTTCGAATCCCGCTCGTGACACTGACTTTTTTATTTCAACCAATACCTTACATAAGGATGAATTATTACTTCATACTTAAAAAGTTGTTTGGTCAATCGGACCACGAAATATAATGGATTTAACATTTAATAAGCGAGAAGAGACATGTCCAATTGTCTACTTTCCGAAAATCCGTCCTGTAATCATTTTAAGATGATTTTAAGATTTTTAATCTTCCATGTACGAAGTAACAGCTTTGCAACTGTGAGTCAATACATGAAATGCCTCTGAAGTTGTTTGGGTCGGTAGGGACACTGTGCTTAAATAATAGACGTTGCGTAATGTCTTATTATGGTGGTGGAAGTCAACCTTCATCTTTTTCTCCAATAGCCGCCAAAGTTCCGTTATAAACATGTGGAGCAGGGGTTTTTTGGTTTTGTTGTCGGTTATGGTCAAGGGTGTGCACTATTAAACATCTGAGACGGCAACGGCCGTGGTCCAGTGGGCCGGCGGAGGCTCCAAGGACGACTGGATCTCCAGAAATATCTGGACGGTAGGAATAAAACACTCCGGGGAAGAGGAAAAAAATGGAATATTGCTGAAGACAAATCGTCCGGTTCCTATTGGTGAACGGGCTTTATTCTTTGGGCGCGGTCCCATTTTGTTTGTTCTCTTCCAAAAGTCATTCAACTTAATTTCTAAGGGAAAAACCGAACGCAAATGAAGTGGTTTTGAATGAAGTGTTTTGCAAAATATGAGACATTGGACAAACCCACGAAAATACTGAAACAGCATGATTTTTTAATATGATCTTTTTTCTATTTTTGAATTATTTGAACCTCTTCAGCAGGTTGGAATCTTATGAGACCAGTTCCATTATGTGCAGAAACGGTTGTGGGTTAATATAAAAAAAATAGACAGTTGATCCTTATCCATTTAATTATTAGCTGAGTCGATTCCTGACATTTTAGTTAACATTTATTCGTAGGTTTGTCTGTCAAACGCGTTTCGGCTTTTCACCATATTCAGTGGTGGGTTTGCCAATGAAGATGCTGAAAAGATTAAACGCATCTAACAGACCAAAACATCGAAGAAACGGCGACCAAAAACGACAACAGCTAGGAAATGGCAGGTTGCACGTTCAAGGAAGATACATCAGAACACTTGATTTGCAACACTCAAAAAATTATTTGTCCGTCATCTGAAACACGGAATCTAATGAGAGCAGTTCAACATGTGCACAAACAATTGTGGTTTAATATAAAAATATTTAGAAAATAGGTCGTTACCCCTTTAATGATTAGCTTGATCGATACTAGTAATTTTGGTCACCCTATATTCTCTGGTATGGTCGTGCTATATGTCCTAGACATTTCCAATTGGATGATGTCTGGGGCTCCACTATGTCGAGAGTGGTCGCAATAATGTCTTGTATTGGGTTTGGACGGTTGAGACAAATTTCGGCCGAAAAGTCTTCGTAGTTATCTAATTTGCCTCTTAAGTCTTGGGATTTTCCATGTCAGCCTGCTGCCTAGGAATCTCGATATGCTAAGTATCTGACTCAAGTGGAACTCCGTAGCTCCTTGTTTTTAATGTTCAGTGGAGGACTGTGTTTTTTTCCTTCAATGTACACTGTATACATTTTCCCTCAATCAGTGTTTTCCTCCACTTTTTGCTCCATTCTTCGATAAATTCAAAGTGTTCTTGGATGATGGAGGTGCCTCGAATAGGTTTCTTGTTAGAAGACGATACTGCGGTATCATCCCCGTGGTAATGATGCTGTTGGGATGTGTAAGAAAAGTCAGCATACAAACATGATTGGACCGATAACGCTCCCTTGTGAGACACCCGTATTCGTCTGATATCTGTCTCGACCTCGCACCATACTTTCAAGCATCACTGGTCTCCGGGTATTGAACTTTTGACAAATAGTCTTTCTAGGATTTTGATTATCACAAGAAGGCCGATGACAGGATATGTGGTTTGGTGTGAATGTGAGATTTAAGAATGAGAATATATCGTATAGTACGAATATCGTAATGCAGGCAATTCACTCCCAGGATGTTGTTTTTGCGGAAGGAAATGTAGTGATTAAGTGATAGGTCATCATAATTTCGTTCGTCCCCGCTGTGCATCGCGATACCCCCTCCAGTCTGTGAAAAACAAATTTCCTGCTATTCGTTTTCTCATGTTTCATTTCGATACTGGGCAACAGTTTTCAATGGCTGATAGATCAAGAACTAAAACCGAGTGATCACGTACATGCCGATGTTGCTGTATTAAAATTCGCCCGTTGGCTGATTTTTTCAGTGCTGTATTAACTTATATTCAAATCAAGAAGATTTAGGTTAAATTTACCTTCGAGATCGCGCCCGTTGGGAAATCACGTGCGACAACAATAAAAATTTGTCGAGACCTTTCTGATTTAGATGCGAGAATGTGTTGTCTAATATTTCACGTTTCATTTAAAAATCCATAAATGTCGCCAATGACATCATTTCCGTATTAATGTCCAAATAAATTAACATCACAATTCAAGTACATGATCATATAAATATGAAGTAGGTGACGATTAGTTTACGACATTTATTGTCGTTTTTGTTTGATATCTGAGCACCTGCTAGACGTGGGTTTCGAGGAGAGTCAATAAATTCAATGAATTTTTTTGACGGATTTTTGAATAGACAACCTTTTCGGCACATAATAGAAGTGGTTCAAATCATTTTTTGAATGTTACAAATCAAGTATTCTCGTGTATCCTGCCTTGAGCTTGAGACAAGCCATTTCGTAGCTGTTTGAAGTAGTTTTCGGGGGTCCTGTCTTTGATGTTTTTGGCTGACTGTCGCTTTTCACCATCTTCAATGGCAAACCTACCTCTAATATAGCGAGAAGCAGAAACGTGTACCAAACAATTATGTCAATAATGTTGTAAGCTTCCTTTCCATTCTAACCCTACAGCCGTTAAGACTTGTCTAAACGTTCCCATCGTGAGAACCCACCTAGTCGCTTTAAAGGACGATATCTTCGAGACCTCCTTCCTTAGACTACCAAAGGAGTGTTATTGTTGGCTTCTCTTTTATCTGTCTTCTCCGAGTGCTGGTTGCTCAACTAACTCGATCCAATACTGATACTCCGTTTACTGTTCACTCCAAGACATTACTGCGACCAGTCTGGACATAACGAACTCGAACCTCCAACCTGAATCCATCTAATACCAAGTATATCATTTTTCCGATTAAAAGTTCTTAGACATATTGGCAAATTTCTTACTACGCCACTAACCTCAATCAATAGCGACCATAACATTTCTTTCATCTGTGATCTGATCTCCCGTCCAAAGTTAAAGTCCACTTCAAGCTTTCCAATCATCCTTACTAAACAGCCCAAGCCATATCTAAACTTTTTATCTGTAGAACCCACTATGTTACTTTAAACCTTACTTAATCCCTCAAATTTAGCGCCAGTGTTGGCTGGTTTCTTGATATACTGTGTGATTTTTATGACAGTTGTAACTTAGTAGCAAGAATCGAACCGCATAATAGCCTAGAGACCTAAATTTCGCTCAAAATCAAGTGGCAATATGATCCCATTTAACACGTTCAATGTTGGAGACCAAAATCGGTCTCTAATTCATCGGTCGGATGAATGACCTGCATGCAGATCATGACGTTTCTAAGTATAGGAAATTTTTACTGTACGGGAGGAGGGAATTAAAAAACATGGCCACACTGTACTAACGATTAGACTCTGCTCGTGAGCAGTTATCTCACTTTACGTTAAGACTGAGCTCTAACAGCTCGTGAGAATGGCCTAGTCTCTAGACGTCATACACCAGGTTCTCTACTACAGGAAAGGCATCGAATAGAAAGGCGACTATTCGCAAATCAGCATCTCGTTTGGGCAGTTGAATAACGGGGTGTTCTCTTCACAGATAAGTGCCGGTTTGATCTGTGCCAATCATCGGGACCGTGTGTGGAGAAGACGTGGAGATTGGTGTGCTTCATGTGACATGCGTCCTTTTCAAAGCCATTTATGGTATGGGGTGGAATCTATGCCAGTACCGTAATGACAGATATAAAATGGATCTGTGACTGCACTAAGGTACATAGAGGAAGTTCGTCTGGAAGCTGTGGTTCCATTCGCTCCATTGGGGACCAATTCGTGTTAATGCATAATAAATTGCATGTAGCTCGAGTTGTCACCAAATACTTATAGCATATAGGGATTACCAAAATGAATTGCCCAGCATCCTGAATCCCGTGGAACACTGATGGGATAGGATAAAGATACGGGTTAGAAATTGTTCGCCGCCATCAACAAGCGTTCGACGCTTCCACCGCTCTTGTTAAAGAATGGGATTCTGTTTCAAAAGACGAACTCAGATCGCTTATGATGATGCTTAGGAGATTTATAGCCTTTCGCGAGACCAGAGGAGGTAATACGCATTATTTACAGCAAATCTAGGCAATAAAAAATAATAACAATAAACCAATTTCTACATGGAAAATGGTTTTTAAACCCTCTCAGAGGCGTTTTGGAGAGCATATTAAACATAAATAAACCGAGATGAGAGTGGGGAATGATAATTGTTCTAAGACCTTGAATGACCCACATGCGGCTGTTTTGTGTTTTCCCCACCTAGTACGTTATCTAATACTTTTTACACGTTGGTACAAATTTGCCACTGAGGGAGACGCGTTGATGATAAAATTTGAAATGTTTTCAGAAGCGCTGGATCGACTGTGTTTTGGTCCATTTATCTGTTTCTGTCTTTCTTTGTTTTTCTTATTGTAATTTGTTCGTTTGTTTTGCAGATCCTTTACACGGATGATACCAGATGGACAGTTCGTATTGAGGTAGGACAGTCAATTTATTATTTTTTCGTTTTATCTACTATGTTAAAGTACAAGAATTTTTCCTCGGCCTTGGCGTGTTGAGTAATTTAATTTTTATTAACGGCCGTGGACTCCGGCATTGGATTCAATATCAAGGCCGGACCGAGTACAAAACCGAGTCAGACAATATGGCAACACGATTCCTATCGTCCTCGTCCTCGTCATCTCATCGTGGATATCGTATTTCAAATAATGTGTTTTATAATGGCTTTGTCAATGAAATAACATGGTTTAATATTCCTCTAACCATCCGTTCACATCTACAATGTGTGTCTCTTTTCCCTGTTCTTCTGGTTCATCTTTAAACATGATCACTCGCCCGTGCGAGTAATTCACTAAATCCGAGTTTATATAAAAACGACGAAAAATTGATTTATTAAACGTTGGGAAAATGTAGCGATAAAATTAGCAGTGGGAATTACGTTTTAGTGAAGATGGAACTAGAATAGATTGGATTTCTCTGTGCGGTCTGCAGGAAATTCGATCGATTACTGACCGTCGGACTCGGTGTGCTATTCTGTCAGATGTTCATTTCTTTATCTTCATGCACCTATGAAGTCAGGTTATTGGACCTACTATCAGCTCTGGTGTTTGGATTAACCAATAATAGAGACAAATGTTCCCAGTCCTTCCTATTGCTTCCTCAAACGGATAATAACTGAACTACTGTAGGGGTGATACAAGTATGTCCCAGTTGGACTCGTGATGGTATTATTTTTAGAGTGATAAAACCCACTGGAAGCTTTCATATATCCTGAAGCCGGAAAGGTTGGAATGTACCTAAAAGAAACCTGGTTTGTTAGATAGTCTGGGAAGGACATTTCCCTATTTTCACTGTCCAGTGAGGCAACATCTTCCGTTGTTCAAACAAACTGTCCGTCGAACCAGTGAGCCAAGGTAGAGATCAGATGGTGTAACTTTGTGCTTTAGCTGTGTAATAGCAGCCTTGTCATCTGAGTAAGGGGGTGGCCGTAAGACCGTTGATCAATGGTGAACTGGGCTTGCGTGTGGTTGCTTTTCCCCGGGCTGAATCCAAAATGTGGATAAGAGTAGTACTGTAAGCGGCTCTGAGGGTATACAGAACTGTGTACTTAGGTACAGTACAGGTATACTTAGGGTCATCACAGGGGTCCATGAAGCACGAGTGCCCGGGCTGCCAACGTGCAGGGTCATCACAGGGGTCCATGAAGCACGAGTGCCCGGGCTGCCAACGTGCTGCACAGGTTTGGCAAAAGAGTGTCTCATTGCTACATCCTCTTCTTGATCTTGGTTTTCCATTGTTTCATTAAGCATCTCTCCATGTTCCATATCCCCATAAGTACTTTTATCTTCTCACAGGGTAATTTATGGGAGTAAATTAAACGTTGCTATGGTAAACATTTTTATTTCTAGAAACTGATAAATCTCGAAATTTTGTTGGCCCTGAACAAATATTTGATTGATTCCCCCCCCCCTTTTGGTGTGGAAATACAAACAAGATCTGTAGGGCGAATTTGAATAACCTTCTCAGTCGTTTATTGAAATATATTAAAATGCAAAATAATATTGTTTCGTTTTTCTTTACCCCTGGATCATATTTGCACGAGCCGCAGAACTCATTTTACAAATTGATATACAGTCATCGTCGCTATATCCACTTTTATTATTGACTCCCAGAAGTCGAACAATACAAATTTTGATAAATTGACACAATTTACCATCAATACACAGTACTTTTCAAGTATACAGACCGTCCTTTAAGCAATCCCAGGCCCAGTGGCCTTCAGGAACCTCCAGAACCATCTGTTCTGTTTGAAAAAATGGTTCAAGAAATGCAGTATAAGACCAAATTCCAACTTCCACAAAATCAGCTGTAGAAAATCCTTCGTCCTAGTTCACTACTTCGTATCCAACCTTACTATCACCCAGATATTCCGATGTGCCCTCAAACCCGCCAGAAATTGATACATACGCATCCATGACACCCTGGACCATCATTCCAAGCTCATCGTCCAACAACTTTCATTCCGAACCTTTCTGATTATCCAAGTTGTTCAAATCATTGCCCAAGCTTCATCCTATGTATCCAACCGTACAATACAACGAGACCTTCAAATTTTCCTTCAGTCTCACACAAATCGATACAGATGCACCCATGACACCTCGAACCCTCATTCCAACATCCTAATACAAAACCTTTTATCTCGAAACCTTCCTGCTAACACAAAATCCTTTGAAACATTGCCCATGATGCGTACATCATGTCCAACCTTCCTAGTGCAATCTTTCATCCTGAAACCTCGATAACCTTAAATCTTTGAAAACATTGCACAAGACCTCTACTTCCTATAAATCCTTGTTAACACCCAGACCTTCAGATTTACCCTGTGTTTTGTGAAGACTATTTTCAAACAAGCAATAGACCTGACGGTTTCCGTGTGTGTTCTTGTTTTTACTCACGTCTGCCTTGATATAAACAGTATTTGCATTTTATTTACCTATTCAGACGAGTATTTGATTACAGCACAACGCTACTCCGATTTCAACCGCAAATTATACCCGACGTGTCTATGTTTTATCATTAAAGTCCAACTTATGTTTTTGACTTTAATATTAGTCATTAGTTTAATATATTATTATTGTAAGAGAATGCCATTTTTCAATTTTTTTAGCGTAGACCGAACGATCATCGTTTTTTAAATTGTATCTTTTGGTGGTACGCCTGTCCGGTTTAATTTGTAAGCGCGGAGTATCACAATCTCGATGTGATGATATCGTGAAAAGGAAACTCTTTTTAGCACGAAAACGGAGGATAACGGAAAATGGCCAAACCGCCGACGAGTTCATTCCAATTTAAAAAAAAGAAAGCATATTCATAAAAGTAAAATAATCATGAAACAAGTGTGTCGGACGAACTATTTTTTTGATCAACTAAATCGAGAATGTATTGGGAAGGGAAATAACATAAAATACTCGGATTAGAATAAAACACAAAGGAAATTTATGACGGAATGGTTGCCGACATGTGCATGCTCTCGATTATGCAGTGAATATGGGATAAATAGGTTTCTCAATCGTTTTAGAAATTAACCTGACAAAGTACATAGTTCATTAATAAAATACGGCAAACTGTACTAAAGAAACAGCCAAAAACGATTAGGAACCCATTAGCATCAATGTTTCAGTATATACGTTCCTCAGCATTTGGCTGTATTCTATTGATTGAACAATATTGCGTATGACGCCTACTCCGACCGCTCTCTTAAAAGCCCGGCTCGGGGGAAGAAAGTTTACACTTCCAACTCTATCTTATCGATTTTACAATTCGCTTTACTAGGTCACAGAAAGTGAAGTGCAGTGAGGGGCAATTGTTGCAGACAGTTCCGCCCTTTAAGGTCAGAGGTCGGAGAGTTTTCAATCGGGACGGATTTAATTAACAATCGCTGTACGGAGTAATAAAGTTGAGACGTTTGTAATTATTGGCATGAAATGAGATCGTCATCGTTAATTATTGCAGTGTTTTATCTGTAGTTTTGTCCTGCGCAAGCGTGTCTCTGTATTGATGACTTTTACTTACCTCCTGCAAACCCTTTCCACAATATTGATATAAACTTTAAAAATGCGTTCGGAAAATGTTTCGAATATTCGCGTCTCCATCGATCTGTCTCTTCCTCACTGTCTCCTTCCCTCTCACTCACGTTATCTTTATTCATTCAATCAAACGCTCTCCCTTCCACTCACTCTTTATCTTTCACTCTGCTCTCTCTATCTATCTGTCTCTCTCTCTCTCCCTCTCTCTCTGTCTCTCCCTCTCACCCTCTCTCTCTGTTTCTCTCTCTCCCTCTCACCCTCTCTCCCACCCCATCCTTCTCACTACTCTCTTCCTCTCTCTCTTATCTATCTACATATCTAACTATCTTCATCTCTAACTATCTATATCTACATTCCCCTCCCTCTCACTCTGACTCTCTTCCACTACTCTTTCCATCGTTCTCCTTCTCTTTCTTACACTCCCCCTCTCTTTCTCACCCCTTTTCAGTCTCTCTTTTATACTCTCCCTCATTCACCTTCTCTCCCAACTCTTCGCTTTCTCTCTCTTTCCATCTGTCCAGCTCTTATCTATCTATCTCCATCTCTCTACATTTTTCACCCTCTCACAATCTTCTTCCCTATCACTCTCTTTCTTTCCCCCACTCTCTATGGCACTCTTTCTCTCTTTTACACCCTCGCCCCTCTCTTTCTAATCCCTCCTTCCATCTTTCTTTTACACTTCCTTCTCCTTCCCTCCCATTCTCTCTTTCTTTCAAAAATAAAGCATTATGCAATCAATCAATCCATCAATTTCTCTCCCCTTCTTGCTCTCTTTCTCTTTCACCATTTTACCCCTTCTCATCTCTTACTCTCTCCCTCTGTTTTCTTCTCACTCTCTCCTTTTTATTTAATTTTTTATTATTTTATAATTTTATACACAGGATANCCTCTTTCGTTCCCTTTCTCTCTTTCTCTTACTATCTCTCACTCCCTTCCCCCTTTCTTGAACTCTTTCACTTTCCCTCCTCCTTTTTTTTTTCTAATAAAGCATTATTCAAGAATCAAACTCCTTCCTTCCTCTCTCTCTCTCTCTCTCACTCACTCACTCACTCACTCTCTCACTCACTCTTACTCTCACTCTCACTCTCACTCTCACTCTCACTCACTCTCTCTCTCACTCACTCTCTCTCTCACTCACTCTCTCTCTCTCTCACTCACTCTTACTCACTCTCACTCACTCTCTCTCTCACTCACTCTTACTCTCACTCTCACTCTCACTCACTCTCTCTCTCTCACTTACTCTTACTCTCACTCACTCTCTCTCTCACTCACTCTTACTCTCAATCTCACTCACTCTCACTCACTCTTACTCTCACTCTCACTCACTCTCTCTCACTCACTCTCTCTCACTCACTCTTACTCTCACTCTCTCTCTCTCTCTCTCTTTCTCT